CCCACCGGGCCCCGGGCCGCTCGCTCGCGGGGCTTCGGACGTGGGTGGCTGATGCCGCTGCCATCTTCTGCTTATGGGGGGATGGTGGGCGCGCAGTAAGCCTTCGCGGGACACATGAAAAGAGTGACGTCTCTGATTTGGAGCGTAAGGGGCGACCCCAGTCTCCCGGTTGCAAAGGATCCCCCCTAAGGCTCTCGATCTCGCCAAGTGAGCGCCCGCTTTTACCCGGACGCTCAAAACAGTCCCGGGGGCTGGAGGCGGCGGCGCATCGCTGCGGTCTAGACCCTGGACTCGATTTCATCTGACGCGCCCTCGGAGGGTTCGGATAAGCCCGCTCTGCCCTTATGTCCTGTTAGGGACCATAAACGGCTCCATCGCTGTGGAAACCTCGTCGCGTTCCCTCTGACGCTGCCTGTGCCTGGCGCCGGGACCTGGGGAACCCCTCCAGCTCCCGCGCGTTCTGCTCCCTTAAATAAGGGAAGCTGGACAGCGATACCGCGTCGCCTTAGCGTCGCTTTAGCACACCCTTAAACCGCATTTTGCAAAAAACGCGTACTTTCGTATCTCAGAATTGGAGTAGGACCTGCCTTCGGGCTTGTGTGACGATTACGTAAGCGAATGCTTGTAACAGGCACCTAAGTAAACGGAGAAAGGATACTACGATTGGCTGTATTTTAATTTTCTAAAGGAAATTCCGTGTGGCCTCCGTTGATTTTGTAATATTCATTTGCGATGGTTTAATGCTTCCCAAGGTGCTTCATACGCATCTTTTAGGATGTTGACAAAGGCACCGGCGATAGTAGGTCTAATGCACGAAAACAGGATGAGAAAGACCAGTTCTAGAGTCAGACATACTCAGTTCAAATCTTGAGTAAATTGTTTAACTTCTTTAGCCCTCGGCTTGGTATTCTCTGAAATGGAGACAAGGAAAGCCCCTAATAGGGTATTTGTGAAGATGAAGTGAAATAAATACCCAGCTAAGTTCTTAGCTCAGATATTAGCTCCATGATGGTAAATGGTCCGCACCCACAGGTAGTGGGTTTGAATGGCAGCGTCAGGACGGGAACTCACTCATCTGGCCTAGGGTTGGCGGTCATCAAACATGATACCCTGTGCCTGTTTACTTTGTTTTTGTTGGCATAGCTCTTAAAATTAACATTTCAATTCTGGGTGTGTTTTGTGCTTGCCAGGGGATAATCACAGTGCTATGTCATAAGGTTATGTCGAAGTTGCCACTGCAATTAGCAGTGTGGACATGGCTAGTCCTCGGTAAAGCCGCAGCTACCCTTTCTCCGTACCACATGTAGAGTTTTCCCACTGATTTTGCCTATATTCATGGTCTGCCAGCTGTGTAAAGGTGGTCTTTTTTCATATGGCTAGGTGAATCTTCCCGTGTCTCCACTAATCTGATAGCATTAAAGGAGTTCAGAGAAGTTCTCAAGCACTAGAATGCATTTCTCAAGTGAGAGATTATTGACATCTTGGTTTTGTATCAGTGCATTTTCTTCTCTCATTTGTTTTGTGCTCACGTCACCTGGGCTCTGCCTGGCTGTCCCTTGCTGGATCACAAGGGTCATGGGGATGAGTCTAAATAAAAGGGCAATTCTGGCTGGGAGCAGTAACTCATGCCTGTCACCCCAGCACTTTTTGAGGTGGAAGTGAGAGGATTGCCTGGGCCCAGGGGTTTGAGACCAGCTCAGGCAACTTGTCAAGACCTTGTCTCTACAATAAATAAAAAATATTAGCTGGACATGGTGGGGCTCGCCTGTAGTTCCAGCTACTTGGAAGGCTGAGGTGGAAGGATTGCCTGAGCCCAGCAGGTGGAGGCTGCGGTGACCGTAAGCATGCCACTGCACTCCAGCCTGAGTAACAGAGTGAGACTCTGACTCAAATAAATAAATAAATGGGCAATTCTATGGGAAGGAGGAGAGAAGAATGGGAAGCCACAAAGGAAGGGCGTGACCCAGGCCTGACACCCTGCCTGTGTCACCGCCCTTCATGGTGCACCTCCCACACCCATGAAACTCTCAATAAATGTCAGTTAACAGATAAGCGACAATCTAGACCTTGATATCAAGGGGCCTTAAGGGCACACTGGAAAAATGGGGGTCAGGGCCTTCCTGAAATGCACTGACCCAAGGCCCTTGATGGAACTTTTCCTCCTTTCCTGCCAGAAATGACTGTCACTCTACCCGGGACTTCCACAACTCTGCTGGGTGAGACTTGGAGCATTTTGTTCTTCCCCTGGGACTCCCACAGCCTCCTGGGTGGAACCTGTTGCTGAGAATTGTGAGGCCTGGGCTGGTCTGTGGTATGGATTTCAGGGTGCCAGGGCCTCAGGTGGTCACAGAGCAGCTCCATAAGGGATGTCTGGAAACATTAGGTCTGACAGGTGGATGAAGTTGTTTTTGCCACACGTTGACCTAAGGCCCTTTGGCTAGTTTTGATCACTGGAATATGAGCAGATAAGAGTGGGCCAGTTCAGAGTAGAAGCTTTGAGAAGCAGCCTGTGTTCTGTTCCTCCCGCTGTGGTGTGCTGTCCTCTATGAGAGGAATGTGCCCAGGTCACCACTTCCTCTTTAGCTTGGGCCCTTGAATGACAAACAGACCTGAGAGATGAATTTGAGCCAACACCGGAGCCCAGCCAAGCCTTGGCAGACAACAGCTCATCCACAGACCCATGAGTGAGAAGTAAATGTTTGCTTTGTAAGCCACTGGGAGGTTGTGCTTTGTGCTTTGTTATTGAAAAAAATCTAATACACCCATACAAGGATAAACATCCCCTCCAATGTCATAAGCACCCTCTCCCACTGCTCTGAAAATACTTAATACAGTAAATGAACAAAAATTAGATCCAATCCATGACGACACAGAGATATGGATGTGCACATTCAACAAATAATCACATAAATATACAATTGCATTGTGGTGAGTGCTTTAACAGAAAGTTTGAAAGCATGAGTGTGATGAGATGAGGAACAGGAGGAATTAATTAATTTTGGTTGGGAATCAGTGAAAGAGTTTCCAAAGACGTACATTTAGGACCTGAAAGAAGAGGTAGAGATGGGCAAAGAGGGGGAGGGGATAGCCAGGAACAGTATGAATGAAAAGATGGAAGGAACTTGGTATGCCTGAGGCTCTGCGAAAGAACAGGGTGACCAGAGCACAGTGGGCATGAGATGAGTTCATGAGAACAACAGGGTCCAGCATCTACAGGGCCTTGTGATCCACGGGGAGGAATCTGGTCTTCTTTGTAACATCTGACTTCTGAAGGGAAAGCCTGGGGCATTTAGATGGGAAGGTTGAATCAAAAGAAGGTCGTGAACATCTGTCAGGTGAGGAGCATCAGATCAGGCTTGTCTTGTGTTTATGGTGGAGTTGCTAAGCATGAGAGCCATCAGAGCTTTTCTTTTAAACTAAAATTTTCTTAGATAAATACATTAGTCTCATAACTACAGTAAGTTCATCCCTTGGCACAAGCACATGGACTTTTTCAAATGTCTTCAACAGCTAGTCTGGTCATGTC